TTCATAAAGTGGCATTATTTTCACCATTTGTAGCTTTGGTAAATGCTTATTTCAGTGGAGTGAATGCAGCACAACTTGACACTGGCATCTAAGGTGAGAGTATGCCCATGCAAGATTATATGCTACTATTGTTTGGCTTTTAAAATAAATATACCATAACTTCTTTTCTCAGCATAATTTGAATTTAAAAGTATTTAAGGACCTGGGAAAATATCCTCTTCCCAACTTTTTGCAGATGTTTTTACAGAAAGAATAAGTGCTTCTAACTCAGGCTGGCTCAAAAAAAAAAAGAGGCCCCCTCTACCTAAAGTTAATATCCAGAAAATAATCAGTTCCCACTGGCAAATGTAAATGTTTTATACCTTTCTAGCATACCATAAGGAGCACACAGCATTATCTCAGATGCATGAGTAAATATTCATATTTTATCTCTGTTTACCACAAAACATGAGCAATAGCCCTACTTCCTTTTTATTTTTCTAAATAACATTACTTTCTTATTTTAGATTGACATATTTCTACAGTTGTTTTTTATCAGATTTGATTAAATATCTCCTGTAATTGTGTAAAACCATTCATATGCTTATACTCAAAGTCCTAAAAATATATTGAAAAAGCTGTCTTCTTTTTTGAGTCTGATTTCTTATTGTACCCCTCTAATTTTCCTAGGCTTATACCATGCAAGTTTAGCCCAGCACGTAGAATATTGGTATACATATCTCTGTCTTTAAATTTAGCTCAAATGCTGACTTACTTATTTTAATTTGTTCCATAGGTTAGTCATTTAAGTATATTTCACCATCTATTCAGATTGCCTAGCTAGACTCCTAGACATCACCAGCAAGCTTAAAGAATTAATTTGGATTAGGATGAGTTAATATATAATTTAGGCATTGGCTTTCCATTTATTAATTTCTACTTCTCCTCCCTTAAATATGTGTTGTGAGCAGATAAATAAAGAAGAGATTATTAAATTAAAATAAGTGATACTAAAACATTTTTCAGTGAATGTCATTATTTGTAATATTTGGTCAGTTCTTATGCCTAGTTCATTAGTATGAAAACTATGTGACCAGTCAGATTTTGAGACTCATTAAATTTTAGAACTATTTTCTTTGTAACATTGACACCTAACCAATGCCAAAAAACATGAATTCATATATCACCATAGCACTTAACAATTTTAATATATGTTAAGGGAGAAGATATTGGACCCATAGCTCTTAGAGAGTTTGGGGTCCCATTGTCTTACTAAATCTGAGGAGTCTGGTTATCTTTATTTTATAATGACCAGTAGCCACCAGTAGCCAGATAATCCCATTATTTGCTTTTTAACTAATCCCTGATTCGCTAATCTATTTATGTATCTTTCTATTCATCATTTAGATAAGCATTCACAGATGGGGTTAGGGGAAAGTTAAAACAAAACAGGTAACAATTCTATGAATAAATTTATTTAAAACTGAGACACTTCTTGTCTTCATTCTTCTTAGCACTGGAAAGATCACTAATATCATTAGTAGCAATTTGGATTAACTTTAGAAATATATAAATTTAGCCAGGTGTGGTGGCACACGCCTTTGATCCCAGGACTTGAGAGGCTGAGGCCAGCGGATCTCTATGAGTTCAAGGCCAGCCTGGTCTACATAATGAGTTCTAGGACAGCTGAGGCTACAGGGAAACCCTGTTTCAAAAAGACCAAATATATATGCATATATATGCATATTATATATGTATTTATATATAAAGTTTATCTTCTCTCTGTCACTAGGTTCATCTGATTCTCCCTTCCAAATTGCTTTAAATTACTTTGTCTTCATCCTAGCTCTGTGTGCCTGACTTTTTTGACTCTCAAAGCACCTTTAAGTTAAACCAATGATATATTCTACATATCATACCAACATATACATCTCACTGAGAAATATACTCCAGTTGAGATTATAAGTAGCAGTCTCCATTTGAAACCTCCACCTCTAGGAAACATCACTCAAGAAACAGAATCCTCTATACACAGACACACAGAGACACACAACCCCATGTATTCCATCAATGACTTGAAATTTGAAAAACACTGAATTCTCCAGAGTGAGAATGTTTTCTTTAATAAATGATCACAAAGCAAGAATTTGAATGAATTTATGTCTCCAAAATTGTCACTATGAAAGGCTATGCTGATTATACACTTAATTCTCAGTACTTTTTTAATTCTTTAAAATTATACTCAAAGCTGGTCTCTCATTTTTTTTCAACACTCTAAAACGGTTTTCTGTGATTTAAAAAAATTTAAGTGTAGCTAAGTGATTTGGAAGATAAAAGCCATTTGCTCTCCGGTGTGAAAAATGAAGTTGGATATCAAGTAGAAAATATATAAGCACAATTTCAAAGAAAAAAATATGAGACTATTTGGTGCAGTATCAATTTGACCAGCAGGAAACTTTGAAAAGTGATCATTTAAAGGTTACATTTATTAAAAAACATAAAATGTCAATTTGCCAAAGTGTAGGGGAGAAAAGATTTCAGAGTACGTGCCCCTGAATAGGACTGCTATATTAAACATCTCCCATGCAGGACTCAGGGACCATTGCCGAAGACGGGGGACAAAAGAGTGTAAGAGCCAAGGGTGATGCATGACCACAAGGAAACAGAGTCTTCTAGGCTTCTGGGAACTTCCTAATATGAACTAACAGCAATGGTGATAGTATACACGTTCCCATGCAAACTCAGACAAAAACCAGCATAGAATTGGGGAAAAGGGCCGGAAGCCCCATACTTAGCCAAGGAACTACTGGCAAACTGATGGCTGCTGGGTGAGGGAGCATTGATCTTCTTTAAGGGAGTGATGCTAGACAGGCTGAAGAGGGTCCAGTAGTCAAAATATTTAAGAAACAATGAACATCATACATTTTCAGTAAAGGCATGTGTTCTTGAGCTGTTCTCCTGAGCTCAAACACTGGCTCTATTCTTGCTAGCTCTGTGACTTTGGGTAAATTATTTTAAAATGCCTGTGTCTCAATTTGTCTCATAAGTGACATGATACAGCAACTTCATGAGTTTTTAATGAGTTAATATTTCTGAGGTTCAATATTTATTAATATATTAAATAAGATGAACAAATTCTTAGCACTCTAAGCAGTGTAAAACAAATGTTTGCATACATAACTGCTGGCAACAAAGACAAAATTCTGGCTAATATCTCAAAGACTAAATAACAAGCAATTTATAGTGGCGATTTTACATATTTATCTTTTAAGAGTTTTGTGGCTTGTTGGTTGGTTTAGTTTCTCCTTGGTATTGGTAGGATTTTTTGAGTATTCGGGTTGTTGAGTATTCTGTCTGTCTATGAAGTGAGAAGCTGTGCCTTGATTAGGTGTTCTCATGGAGATCAAAAAAGAAAATGGATTTGAATTTCTCTCTGTTCATTTGAATTTCATATTTCAACAAAAAATGTAAAGATCACCCAGCACTGTCACACATATATTACTCCATTTGAGCCAATAGTGGTTACTTTCGATGACATGCATACGCATTAATGTATAGGTTATTCTATCACGAGTCACTAATTTATGAATGTTAACAAAATAATATTCTGTGGACAGGGGTCTGATTTCATTTTCCCTTTCTCCTTGAGCTCTTATTACTACTCCCTCTGATTACACAAGGGAAAAGGCTTAGACAGAGGGTCTTCCCTCTTTTAGAAGAAACTACAACCAGAAAGAAAGAATTTAGTGGCATCAATGTGCTTTCCAGAACTCCAGAATTGAATACATATTGAATACATTCTAGTTAAACATAAGTATAGTCACCTTCAGAGGATATGTGTACTACAGCAGTTGTAATGATTCTTAAACCCTTAACTTCTTGCTTAAGGACATAATCCAGTTCTACCATGGCATGTCAATAGCAGAGTTCACCTGTGCTTAAGTGATCCGGGTAGTCATTTTGCTCATTATTTTTATATTTTATTCTTCGACAGTTTCATACATTAGTATACCAAATTTTGACCATTTTTTACCCCATATTACCATTTTCATTCCATTCTTTTTCCTACTGAATCTCTTCTACTTCCCAACAAGTCACCTCCAACTTTACACATGAGTTTTTAAAACTGGGCTTAAACACTATATGTATCTCTTAACAATAATTACATATCTAGGCTGGTGTTTGAAGGACGTACTTTTTCTGAGAACAGACTTCTGGAATAAGAAGAAAAAAGTATAAACACTTCTCACTTAGAAGTCTGCATTTTCCTACTCTGACTCCAATTTGATACTTAACCAGTCAATAAAAAAAACACTTGCCTAATATTCATGTTACTCACCTATGCTCCCTCTAGTATTTCACCTTAGCAAATGGCATAGTCTTCTTCAACAAACAACTATTACACTATTATGCCTATGCAGAGTGGCTAGTATGTTCTGAGTAAGTGATATATGTCTTAAGTATCTTAACTTTGAAAATGTTAATGTAATGTTTGCATATACTTAATTCTAAATGGAATTAAAGGCAAGGCACCCTGATTTTCTAGTTTCTTTTAGAAAAGTATGAAATAAACAGCCCATTAAAAAGAGTGGCAAGACTAGGATAAAATAACAGGTATTTCTTTTGGAAAATTTTAAGGGACTGACAAAAACATTAATAAATATAAATTATATTAAATCAAACTATACACATGATGATTACACTATCTAAATAGAAACTAAAGATAAGAAAATTATGACTGTCTTTTCTTTTTGCCTAATCTCCAATACTGCTCAGAAAGGCACAAATAAAAATGTCACAATTTACGAAGTCCTCCAGTAAACATAATATTTCATGTAATTCAAGACCACATCTCTTCACTGTTAGAACCTGGTCACAACCTGGTAATTTACCATATAGACCGGCAAACATGTAACAGGTGGCTAGCAGGGTCTCTCAGCATCTGCCTAGTTACCCCAAGGTGAAAGAATATTTCCAGAAGGATGCTGAAATGAAATTCAAGACAACATTTGAGTACATACTGTTTTATCCAGTGCTGGTAGAGCTTCTTAATCACATCAATAGGGTCCCCTGCAGAAGTGGTGATAACAAAGCTGATTCATTCACTCATTAATTCATTCATTCATTCCTGAAAACAAAACATAAAATAGTGAACAAGTATAGTAGGGAGAAGATGCTCACAGAGATTAGGAAATTTTAGCCTATGTGTACATAGAGACACTCAAAATATATTACCATGGGAAAAAGGGAATATGGAGATAGTCACATGCAAGTGCTTGTAAAGTAGAGTGTAGCAATCCTTTTACTGACACCTCTTTTGACCTGGCAGACTTTGGGAAAAGTTATGAAAGGCAAGAGTGTCGGTGTCAGGGTTCTTAATTCACTCTGTGGTCACAAGGAGCTCTCAAATCTGATGAGTTACCCTAGAAAAATCCCACAGCCTCTAGTCAAACTTGCAACACAGTTGGAGGGTAGCAACTTTCTTTTCCTCAGTCAGTAGTCTTTCCTGAGTTCTCATGACTGCAGTTATCTCACTATTCAGTAAATACACATGTACAGCTATACATTGGTTGTGAGCATAGCTATTATTAGAAGTCAAAAAATTCTGTGAAAAGTTGTTTCATATGTACCTTTGCAATGCCTATAGGTGGCATTCTGAGTGGGGCAACTATGGATACCAGATACTCTACCCCATGTCTCTCTTTTCCATTGTACCTAGTTATCGCCTGTCCAGGTTTGCCACCTCGCCTGGAATATCCTGTAACAGATTCAGTTCTTTTAGGCACCATGTTGCCAGGAATCCCCTAATAAATTGAAAATACTACCAAAAGTTAGTTGTTAGATGTTATACTATTAAATGCAATAACTGAGATGGGCTAGTTTTCATTTAGAAAGTCAAGGAGATGAAATATAAATATGTGTTTTACTTGGTAGAAGTATAAGATTACAGAAGGAGGAAATATTGATGGAACTACAAGTATAATTCATTCATAGACATCAGACTGCATCCTAGGTGTTGGAAAAGGACCTTACAAAGGAGAAGAGAGGACATGAGAGAAAGAGAGAAGACACACAATATGAGACCTTCCACCTACACAAATGAGGTTCAAGTCAGTCATTTTAAAATCATGCAGACTTCTCATGTAGATTAAAAGTTCTGCCTTTCCAAGAGGAAACTTGATACTAAATTTTGTTTGGGGAATCTTAAATCAGCTGTCCTTCCCCACTCGTGCTTTCCTCTGTCCTAAATACATGCATATTCTCAGTTTCCTCATCTTGTAAAATTAATAAAATAAATGATGGCTACTTCTAGGATGCATCATTAAGAATACATGAGACCTGTCAAGTAAAATTCAGTAAGACAGGGCTTGAAGGAAATAGGTGTTCAATAAATACTATTCATCCTTTCCTTTCGCTTCTGTCATTTAGTAAATAAGATTGTAGACACATAAGGCTGTCTCAATACATGATTTGTAAAATACTAAAAAACTAAGAAAGAAAGGATAGAAGTAATGTTAAAAATGACTAAAGTTATTTTCCAAATATTCTGTCAAGTTGGGTGTGCTGACATGTACGTGGAAATCCATAACTCGAGGAGGTAGAGGGGAGGACATCATGAATTTGAGGCAAGCCTGGGCTACACAGGGAGCAACCAAATATATTTTGCCTTTGAAAGATAATAACAAAGTGGAGAAAAAGGACACAAGATGAATAAGCAAAAGGCATTCTAGAAGCCTCAGAATTCAAAGTGATCTGTCATAAGTGGTAAGTAAGACAGTCCAGCCAAGAAATTAGAAACTGGCAGAAGTTCTAATCCCTGTTGATAGTTTGCCATGAGAAAAGGGAAGACAGTACTGTCCAGTCACTACCTGAGAAGAGCAGATATGTGCAGACAACCACAAGCACAGAGATCAGTAACCGAGCAGAGTCACAAATTAATCACAACCACTGGACAAACCAGGATGGCCAGAAACAGATGCTTTTGAGACAGTACAGTTAAGTACTTTTTTTTTAGTTAAACCAATCTGGTACTTTAATTACCATGTAATATGTTCATAAAGCTTGGGTGAAAACCAAACATTCTCAGTATAAACATTGACTATACATATATTTTGTTCCTTAAACTAGTTGACTAAACTATGACCTTAGAAATTTTAAGATTATCTACACATAATTTCTGTCTTCTCCTTTATATCATAACAAACATATACAGATCTTTATCACTTGCATAGACTTTCTCATTTTTTTTCTTTCTATTCTGGAAATCCTTAATCATTTCATTTTTCACATTTTCTGGACAAGAGTTAAGCAAGACATCAAAATCAATTTTGGCTTGGTAGATCAATTCTTATTTTAAAGACCCTTACAAATTTCTGTTTCATTTCTTCTTTTTCAATTCATGAGCCAAGTTACTTAGGCTGAGAGAAAACAGGCTATAGGAAAACATCATAGCACACCTGGATTCCAGTCTTGACCTTATCACCAGTTAATGAAATGACCTGGAGAACAACCTTAAAATCTGTGAACTTCAATTTTTATCTATAAAAATTCAGGATTTAGAGTCCATTATCTCTAATGTTACTCTGATGTCTAAGAGTCTATGCCCACTTCTGGATCAAGTTGGCAAAGATATTCAAGAAACCTGTATCTTTCCTTCTCAGTGCTTGGTCACCTCAGGTCCTGCTGGAAATCCTTACAGCACAAACATTATTGCCTGGACTCCATATTCAAACCAATAGTAGCCTTTCTTAGCTGGCGCAGATTTGGTTCTATCACGGACTTCTCCTTATAAATACCTCCCTTTAGGGTCAGTGTTTATATTTAAAATCAAATCTACTGTAATTTTTAAGTGAATTTAAGCTAATGCATTAATGAAAGAACTGAAGGTATTATCTAGGATCTTCACAGGGAACATGGAGGCATTTTCCCAGCAGACTTTTTTAAAACAACTTATTGTACATTTAGTTACATTTCCATGGGAGGAAAGAAGGAGTAAGTTTATAGAACGCCTGAATGCTTCATATTATAAACAAAAGCTTCCCAGATAGACTCTAAAAATTCAGCCAGTTCATATATACTTAGCACTTAGGATAGCATGCTGTTTACACTGGTAAACCTGATGGTGACATGGATAACAATTCCATAAATGTTATTAAAATTTCTCATTCATTATCAAAATGGTTTAATAATTTTAAACCTTAGGCTTGATGAATTTTTTATTAAAACTCTGTTACTAGTCTGTTAAAATCTATTGGTGCTTTGGACTTTAAAACAAGATAACAAAAGCAGTTGTCTTAAAAGACTCCTCTTGTACTTCATAAAAAGTTAATGAAACAGCTAGGACTAGAACCTGTTTGAATATAAAATGCTTGTGTTCCTTTCTTTATATGAGATCTTCTCCCCACTATGCATTCTCTGTTTGCAGATACTTCTCTTTCTTGCATATAGACAAAACATTTGAAGGTAAACTTTGTGTTATTAAGAAATATCAATGCTGTAAATCAGACAATCATATACAAATCACTAAAAATAAGTGTCCTTCTTATTTTCTTTTGCAATGTTCTGGAAAATAATATTCCTAACTATGTAAAGAACAAACCACCATGTCTTCCTCTCATCAACCTTCCTATCTTCCCATGCCCCCATAGGGAAGCACAAATGTGGATGAACGCTTCACATGAATTCATTCATTTCCCTTAAAATTCAAAACTGGAAATGTGACTCTTTAACTGCTTTTTTATGCTACAGTTTGATAAGGAACCTATCAAAAATGAAGGAATGGAGTAATAAAATAAAAAATACCTTATTATAAATCGAATGACCATGCTAGATGTCACAGGAGACAAAAAGAAAGATTATAGAACCTCTGCCCTGTAAAACTGGTAGCTTGGCATCAGTGACTTAACAGAACAAGAAACATGTAAAATAAATTCTTAAACCAAAGAGGTCAAATGTGAAGACCTATTGAAAGTTGCCACATGGTTTATGTACATATCCGCAGCAGATTTTAAGGAAGTTAAGCTTTTAAATGAAATTTCCAAAAGCAAAGATTTCACTCATATCATGTTACTGTTTTTCCCTTATCCAGCTGCAGATTTTGTTACTATTTTGCTGGTCAGAAGCATTTCAAGCTGCGAGCTTGATTAGGCATAGTGCTTCAGTGTGCTGAAGGAAATCTGTCAAGGGAAAGGCAGGTGTAACCCAATTTTCCCAGTGTGACTGCAAGACAATAACTTGGCATTTTGGAAATTGTTCAGAGGGGCTCTGACCAAGGAAATGTAAAGTTCAATGTTAGCACAGTGATAAATGCTCTTCAAAGACAAGAACCCTCCGTCACAATATTTTAGCACACTGAGAAACTGAAAAACGAGGAAGCTTAGTTTGGGGTTTACGTTTATATCCCTAATCAATAGGATTGTTTATTATTTATAAGGTTCAAAAATTGATCTCTCAAGGCTCTTCCTCTATTTTCTCTTGTATATAGAGCATAAACATGAAATTAAGTATATTGTGATCAGGAGAAAATGATGGAGGAATAATACACATTATGAAGAGACAGCCTATCTAGAACCTTGTTCTGTGTTGTGTTTATTTATCTCAGAGTTCAGAACTGATAAGATAAAATGGCTACCACAATAAGCAAGCTCCTGCACTAACTAATGTGACTTCGATTCCAGTTATTTCTCTCTCTAATATAGTCATAGACTGAGTGATGGACCTGAAAGAGGCATCCTGTAACTCCAAGTCCTTATTGCTAATGAAGCAGTTTACTCGCAAATATAAAAATTGTTCTGTTGTCTCTTCTCTTGATTAATGTGTAGCCACGATTCCATTTATGAAGGCTCCCATGTTTTTTCCTCCACTTCTAATACTCTGCAACCTACAAATTGCAATAGGAGGCCATTAAACACGAGCATGCAAAAATAAAACTATTCCCTCCGATCTGCTTGAGGGAGCACTATCTACATTTTTTTCCTGGGCATTTATTTTGTGCCAATATTAACTTCCATATAGAATCATACTTTTCTAATACTGAAAGAGTCTTAGATCTGTAATTTAAAACATTTACTGTTAAGCCCTAACAGGTCATAGGTAAGGGACAAGAAAGCCAACTTTTCTGAACATTTC